CTCTCTGGTTTTCTTTTTCCCTCCCCCTCTCCGCCTGCGTGGGGGAGGGAGGGGGCCTGTGGCTCTGCTCTTAGCACTTGGAGGAAGGGAAGCTCGCCGTCCCATGCAAGTAGGCAGTTAGGGGTGGTTTGTGTTTTGCTTTTTTTTTTTTTTTTTTTTAACTTTGCTTGCATTGATCTACTTGATCTGAAGCGGGGGGAAAAAAGGAGAAAAGGAAAAAAAAGAAAGAAAATCATGAGTTCCACCTGCTGGGGTTAAAAGATTGTTGAGCAGCCGGGTCCTGGGGCCGAAATAGAGGAAGATTGCCTCTGAAAGAAAGGAAGGAAGAAAGAAAGAGGCAGTGACTCACGAAAGTAGCTGCAGACTAGACTCTTGGTTGAACTTCTGAACAGTGCGCGTCTAGGAGGGAGCGCGGGAGCTCGCACACGCACCAAACCACAGGGAGAACCGCAACATCCCCGCGCCCCCCCAAACCTAGCACCAGTCATTCAGATGTGGACCTCTTAGCCGCAGATCCGCCGCGGTCTTTCTAAGATTTACGAGAGACATCACGCCAAAAGCGCTCGTCCTTTCTCTCTTCCTTTCTTTCTTTCTTAGTTTCTCTTTCTCTTTCTCTCTTTCTCTGTATCCTTTTCTTTCTCTCTTTTAGACTCTCTTTACTTCTCCTCTTCCTCTCTTCCTTTCTTTTTCCTCTCTCTCTTAGCCTCTCTTTCTTTGTCTTTCCTTCCTTCTCTCTCTGCACACACACGTGTATAAGTGTCTACTTCCACCCTCCCCGCGGCGCACGGAGAGGACTGGGCCGTGGCCAAGAGCTGCTGCCATGCTCGCACCCCCAGAGCACGGTGCCTCCAACTACTGACGCTGAGTTTTCAAGGCTCCTTAGGAGAACCCCCCCCAAAACAACCCAGCCAAGCCGCCCCGAGTCTCAGAGAACATGACTGGATTTGTGCTGTGTTTAACTTCTCCGCGGAGCCCACGGCCCCGGCTTGCTGAAGTGCCGCAGAGCTGGGCGCGCGTGTGACTGGCCCCGCGTATCCGTGCCCCTCCCCCCCCGTGCCCCCGGGCCTGGCGCGTGGAAGACGCTCGGGACTGACTGTAGGGACGAGGCACCTGGAGGAGTCGCGGGCCGCTGGGATCGGCTCGCGCGCGCCTGTCTGAGACTTTGCCCTGCCTAAACGCCCCCCCCCCTTCTCCTCCTCCTCGCGTGGGATTTGGCGAGGCGCTCCGGGCCGGGCCGGGCCGGGCCGGAGACGAAGGCCCGGGATTGATGACCCGCTCGGCGCGGCGGGCGCGGGGCACGGGTGTGCGCGCGTGCCTCTGCCCCCCGCCT